TCACATATCTCTTTTAAACAGTTTTCTCCCTCCTCTGTTTCAGTGCAGTATACATTATTGAACCCATCTTACTCAGTCTCTCCCCAACCCCAAAGTCTGTTCCATTCTACAACAGTGGCACCATGCGTTATTTGTCCTTTTGTGACTGGGATATTCGCTCAGCATAATGTTCTCCAGAGTCAACCATTTTGAATAATATTCCTTGTTTTTCAATGCAGCATAATATTTCATTGTACGAATATAACACAGCTTCTCTAGCCATTCGTTTGTTGAGGGGCAGTTAGGTTGTTTCCAACTCCTTGCTATTGTGAACAAAGATGCAATAAACATGGGTGTGCATATGGAATTTTAAAAATTTTTAACTAAGCCATATATGTTAGAAACCTTTTGTTTGCCAATCAGTAAGAAACTGGAACATACGAATTTCTTTAAGAGAAGCTAATTAAATGAACTTCTGAATCTCTTTTTTCTTTGTAGCGGATACTTTGTTTTCAAGGAAGCTGAATGGGAAATACAGACTTGAACGTCTAGTTCCAACTGCAGTTTATCAACACATGAAAATGCATAAACGGATTCTTGGACACTTGTCATCTGTGTACTGTGTAACTTTTGATAGAACTGGCAGGCGAATATTTACTGTAAGTAGTAGATTCTTTTTAAAGTATTATTTGGTGCATGCTATAGACTTGAATAAACACTGCCCTTTTTGTAATAAAACCGTTATATTTTTCGTTCAGTGAAATATTGAAATGTCAGGTAATTTAACTTATAGTGGAAAATTTTACTTATATTTAAATGTTACAAGTTCTTAAAAGACACTTGTAATATAGTCACAGTTCTGTCATGTTCTTAACAAGATGAACAAGGATAATTCCCAGAATTATATAAAATGTACTCTTTTAACTTGTATAAAATGTAATCAAACTCTATTCATTGCTGTTAACTCAGGACCACATCATAACCAATCCTCCAACCAGTTCACAGAGGGAGGAGATTCTGTTTACTTTTTCTGCAGAGCAACAGCTGGTGGTTTTGAACTGTCTGGCTTTGGGTTGACAGTGCTCTAGCTCGTTACCCACTAGACTTAAATAATTTTAATCCTAGAGAACTGCCGGAAGTCCAGGCTGGGTTTAGAAGGGGTCGTGGTACTAGGGATATTGTAGCTGATGTTAGATGAATCTTAGCTTAAAGCAGAGAATACCAGAAGAATGTCTATCAGTGTTTCATTGATTATGCAAATGCATTTGACTGCGTGGATCCTAACAAACTATGGCTGACTCTGAGAAGAATGGAATCCCAGAACATTTAATCTTGCTAATGCGAAACCTATACTTGGACCAAGAGGCAGTCGTCAGAACAGAGCAGGGCAACACTGAATGGTTCAAAATTGGGAAGGGTGTGCGCCAGGGCTGTGTCCTATCTCCATACCTTTTCAACCTGTATGCACAGCAGATTATCCGAGAGGCAGGGCTCTATGAGGAGATGCGTAGCATTAGGATTTGTGGAAGATCTATCAACAGTCTGCATTATGCAGATGACACAACCTTGCTTGCTGAACCTGAGGAGGACCTCATGCGCTTACTGCAGAGGGTCAAGGACTGCAGCCTTCAGTATGGACTGAGGCTCAGTGTCAAGAAGACAAAGATTCTCGCCACTGGACCAATTGATAGCATCAGGATGGATGGCGAAGAGATTGAGATTGTTCACAGCTTCAGTTTACTCAGCTCCACAGTCAACACTCTTGGCACCAGCAGCCAGGAAATAAAAAACCGTATTGTGATGGGAAAGTCTGCTGTTAGGTACCTCTCAAAAGTACTCAAGAGCAACGGTGGCTCTTTGGAGACGAAGGTGCGCCTGATACAGGCCATGGTCTGCAATCACTTGTTATGTATCAGAGAGCTGGACAATGACTAGGGAAGACAGAAGCAGAATTGATGCTTTTGAGCTGTGGTGCTGGAGAAGAGTATTGAATGTACCCTGGACATCCAAGAAAACAGATTCTTCTTAGAGAGGGTTAAACCAGGCTACTCCTTGGAAGCAAGGATTCTGGGGCTTCGTCTGACATACTTAGGACATGTTGCAAGGAGAGACAGGTCTTTGGAGAGGGACATCATGCTGGGTAGAGTAGAAGGACAGCGCAGGAGGGGAAGACCCTCTATGAGGTGGATTGATTCGCTGACTGGGTTAATCGGGATGGGTGTGTCAGAGGCAATGCGATTGGCACAGGATAGAGCAGGGTTTAGGGCTGTTATACATAAGGGTCGCTATGATTCGCAAATGACTCGATGGCACATAACAACAAGAACAGACTAGAACAAGGATGTGTCACCAGTTTGTTGAGCAAATTATAATGCCTTTGAACATACTTTTTTTTTCATCTGTCCAAAAGCAGTTGCTGGTAATTCCTTAATATAATTATATTTCTGGAGTACAATGTATTAAAATTTGATAAATAAATTATATAATTAAAAAAACTTAAAAATGTTAAAGAGTTATGTTTACTCTCCATGTTAAATTGCATAAAACTATTTTCATAATGGTTTTTTAAAAAACAACAAAATAATTATAGAAATATTATGAGCATGTTTACATTTTTTACCCTTTACACCTCATAGTTTACAGTATCTGTAACATCGCAAGAAGCAATTTGCTTTCAGTTACTGTCAGATGAATTGTAAAACTAGAACTTGCTTAGCTTTCATTTTAAATGAAAAGTACTTAGGCAGTAACTACAGCTTGTTTTCAGATACATTAAATATCAGTATCTGATAAGGGCAATAGTTACTACATGATTATTATTATTTGTTATTGACATAATACTCATCTACAACACTACAACTCAAAGGCTAGTCTACTATTATCCTTAGTCATTGCCTAGCTTTCGGATGTATACCAAACTATTGAGAAAACCATGGCTACGATCAGACACACTGTAGTCTTTAGACTGACATCGTTGCTCTTTGGCACTCTGGAGAGGTCCTTGACTGCAAATTTTCCCAGTGCAACTCATCTTTTGATTTTTTGACTGCTAGTCACAAGGGTGTTGATTGTAGATCCGAGCCAGAGGAAATTCTTAGCAATTTCATTGTTTTCCTGAAGCTGAGATACAACCTATATTGAAGGCTATCAAAGCACTTCAACATCAGCCCAGTTTTGGTGAGCAGAGTTTTGTTTTCTGCATAATGTAGGTTATTAAGAGGTCCTTTTCCAGTCTTGGTGCCAAATTCTTCATAAATTCCAGCCTTTTTAATGATTTGTTCAACATATAGATTGAAAAGGTATGGAGTAATAAGCATATGTCCCTAACACATTTCTTTTTTGGTTTATAACCATGCAGTGTCACCTTGCACTGTCCCTGAGAACAGACTTTTGTAAAGCAACTTGAGTTTTTATTTCCTCACTGTTGGTGCCAAGAGTGTTGATTATGAATCTGAGCAAGATGAAATTGTTAACCAACCTCAGTCTTTTTCCATGTATCCTGATGCTGTCAGTTGGCCTGATGCTGAGAATCTTTGTTTTCTTGAGGTTGAGGTATAATCCATATTGAATACTGCAGTCATTGACCTTCTTAGCAGATGGTTAGAGTCCTCCTTGCTTTGTGTCATCTGCATAACACAGGTTGTTGATGAATGTTTGTTCTCATAAAGCTCAGCTTCCCAGATAACCTGTTCAGCTTATAGACTGAATATTGTGGAGAAGAAAGTATCCCTGACACACTCCTTTCTTGATTTTGAATTATTCACTGTTCCCTTGCCCTGTTCATACAACAGCTTTTTGGTCTTGGTTTCACATGAGCACAATCAAGTGTTCTTGGACTCTCATCTTTTTCTCAAGGTTAGCCACAATTTGTTGTGATTCACATAGTCAAATGCCTTTGCACAGTCAATAAATAATAGGCTGATACATTTTTGCTTTCAGCCAAGATATATCTCACATCAGCAGTGATATCCCTAGTGTGATATCCTTTTCTAAGCAAGCTTGTTTTCATGGCAGATCTCTTTATTTTTGGATAATCTGCAAGATTTTGCTTGCATGTAATAATAAGAGTGTTGTTGTTGTTATGTGCTGTTGAGTCACTTGCGAATCATAGTGACCCTATGTATAACAGCCCTAAATCCTGCTCTGTCCTATGCCAATAGTACTGCCTCTGACACACCCATCCTGATTACCCCAGTCACTGAATCTGTCCACCTCATGGAGCGTCTTCCCCTTCTGTGCTGTCCCTCTACCCTCCCAAGCATGATGTCCCTCTCCAAGGACCTGTCCTTCCTTACAACATGTCCAGAGTATGTCAGACGAAGCCCCAGAATCCTTGCCTACAAGGAGTAGGGTTTAACCCTCCCTAGGATGAATCTCTTTGTTTTCTTGGCAGTCCATGGTACATTCAGTACTCTTCTCCAGCACCACAGCTCAAAGGCATCATTTCTTCTTCTGTCCTCCCTAGTCATTGTACAGCTGTCTGATGCATAACAAGTGATTGCAAAGAGCATGGCCTGTATCAGACGCACCTTAGTCTCCAGAGACACACCGTTGCTCTTGAGTACTTTATAGAGGTCCCTAACAGCAGACTTTCCCATTGCAATACTTTTTTTTATTTCCTGGCTGCTGGTGCCAAGAGTGTTGACTGTGGAGCCGAGCAAACTGAAGCTGTGAACAATCTCGATCTCTTCACCATCCATCCTGATGATACCGGTTGGTCCAATGGTGAGAATCTTTGTCTTCTTGACATTGAGCCTCAGTCCATACTGAAGGCTGCAGTCCTTGACCCTGTGTAGCAAGTGTATGAGGTCCTCCTCAGTTTTCGGCAAGCAGGGCTGTGTCATGTGCATAATGCAGATTGTTAATAGATCTTCCACCAATCCTGACGCCACACTTCTCCTCATAGAGCCCAGCCTCTCGAATAATCTGCTCTGCATACAGGTTGAAAAGGTACGGAGATAGGACACATCCCTGGCGTACACCCTTCCCAGTTTTGAACCATGTAATGTTATCCTGCTCTGTTCTGACGACTGCCTCTTGGTCCAAGTAAAGGTTTCGCATTAGCACGATTAATTGTTCTGGGATTCCCATTCTTGTCAGAGTCTGCCACAGTTTGTTACGATCCGTGCAGTCAAACGCCTTTGCATAATCAATGAAACACAGATAGACATTCTTCTGGTAGCGTTTTGTAATTTCCACATTCTGTTGAATCACCGTTTTTGGGATTGGGAAACAAATGTGGCTCTCTTTTACTCAGTTGACCAGGTTATTGTCCTCTTGATTTCTTGGCACAGCTTTGTACGTCCACAGTTCCATCTGTTTGTTGACATACATTAGTTGGTATTCCATCAATTCCTGGGGCCTTTTTGTTTGCCAGATCCCTCAGAGCGGCTTGAATTTCCTACTTCATTACTATTGGTTCTTAATCATATACTACTACTTGAAATGGTTCTGTGTCAATTAATTCTTTTTGGTACAGTGAGTCCATATATTTTTCCGTTTTATTTTGATGCTTCCTGGATTTCTCAAGATTTTGCCTATATAGCATTTTTCAGTATTTAACTCAAGATTTGAATTTGTTCTTTGTTTCCTTCAGCTTGAGAAATGGCTGAGCAAGGTTTCCACTTTTATTTTCTGACTCCAGCTCTTTGTACATTTT